ACGAAAGTGACGTTGTGTGACTGTCGACATTCAGGTTGTGCGAGGCAGACAGCTTTTTTTTGTGGTACTTTTCACTATTCAAATATATGTTCAAATTTAGACTATTTGTTGACAGCCCTAGTGTTCAAGTAGCCTGTTTCCACAGGGCTTTACTATTTGTAACCTGCTCCGTCAAGGTGCAACAGTAACACAAATAGTAAAGTTACTGTTGTGACAGGCGAATGTTCCTCTCCTCAACTAATGTCAACTGATTATTTCATGTAATTGTTTTAGAATGCATGTAGCTATAAAATGCTAACTTAAACAACTTTCTCCGGTGCGAGGGAGCTACGTAACATCTGGTTACCGTTATTGTTGCCGGTACTGGTAATATTTCCGCCCTGCTCTCGTCCACTAACATAACATCCGGTTTGCCGTCTACTGTCGGCCTGATTCCATGTGAATGCAGCATTAGTCTCGTCGCTCAATGACTGACTTAGACAATCAATCCATTATCGAAATTGTTGATTCATTGTCTGACAATCAACCAATCAATCTACTTATTGGTCAGGGCTACACAGAGAACATTTTAAATTGATTGAGATTGAAAAGGATGTCAGTCTTTACACCTGTGCAGTGAGCGAGACTGTTTTTTTTCCCCTTTATCCAACTTGACTGTAAACCTGATTTTATTGCAGTTATAACTGAGAAGAGTGCAACAGATTCACGTCTAGCAGACTGATGTTTGTAAGTGTGCATCGTCGTAGGTGATCACGCGTCTTTCTGGACCGGCACATTCAGTATGCACCTGACCTCCATTAGCCTATGCAAATAAGTAACCTTCCTTTTTAGCTCGGCAGCTGGCATTCTTCTCACGCACACACACACGCACACACACACACACACAAACGTTTGTGCCTTGCCCTTCTTTTAGCCCCTCATTATCGGAGAGAGGAAACAAGGATAGTGCTGAACTATCACAAATACCTCCTTTCGTTTCCTCTGCCACATAGTAAATAGTACATGAAGGCCCACTGGAGGACAGCTTTGCTTTTGATGTTTTCTCAGATCTACAGCTGAACTTTTCGTGCCCCGGTTGCCTTCCTCGGACTCTACTTACTGCTCGACAAACAAAACTAAAAAAAAGGACACAGATAGAGAAGCGGAGATTTGCAGATTGTGGAGTGACAGTGATGTGGAGACTTGTGTTTAAAAAGTGACTGACTTAAAGGGAAAAGTGCAGAGTGCAAGGAAAAAAAAGATGATTGGCAGCTAAATGAGTTGGCTTTAGTTCGGCACGTCCTCACAGGCAGACTGACATCAAGCCTCAGAGGACGTGCGGGGGCTTTATGAGCTTAATTAATTTGACATCAATCTCTAAAATGATCCCTGAACTCCAGAAGTGACAGTAGGAAGTCAAAGGACTGCTGTGTGAGAGGATTTATGAGCGTGATTATTTAATATGCGAGGATATTTAAGTGGAATTGTCACTTGTTATTGAGGACACTGACCTATATTGGCTAAGGACAGCAATGCCTCCAGCAAAAAGCCACCGAGTGTTCACTTCTGATCTTATTAGCTCCCTGTACATCACACTAAATGTACCGTGGCCATAGGAGAGGGAACTAGAAGACGGGGACACGAGTGGATACATTATAGTCCATCTCCATGCAGCACCCAGACTCTCTTGCTGTCAGCGGTTATCAGTTGAGGCGTGAGAAATGACTGATTTCCCATTAGTTGCTCCCAAGGTTTGGCATTCACTGATTGAAGGTATGACATTTCTGGTGTGTTGGATTTGTCTACTCACAACTGCTGTTTATGAGTGTGCAATGAGGCTAAGAGGAAGTATGTCCGTGGTGTTATGAGCTTTTTATCCTCGGGGGAATAGCTTGTCTGTAGATAGAAAACGGCCTTTATGTTGTTTCTTTCATCCTCGCCTCAACATCTTTGTGCTTTCCCTGACGACATTTCTTGAATCAAAACATGGGTAGGAAGTGAGAGCTTAGTTCTTTCTCCCCCTCCTTTTTCTCTTTCATTCATATACAGACGGGTTACAAATTCACTGAATGGTTTGATGATTAGGGAAATTGTGTGAGTTATATTCCATCACCTGTAGGAGATTTTGGACGAGCGTGTTACTGAGTGTTCAGACCATAAAGAGAAGTGTGCAGATCACCGCCTGCTGTATAGTGTGACTGAATGAATACAACCCCCGGTCTAGCCACTAACGGGCTGTAAGGCGTCTTAAAACACACCATTCAAACTCAAAAACAAGCGGCGATGTATGCAGGCAATCAGCTCTAAGTCATCGTATAAGACGACAATCTTACCAAAGACAAAATAAGCAGTGGCTGAGTTGCGGTGGTGTACTCAGCAGTGTGTGTGTACTGGTAGTTCTGTTAGCTGTTAGCAGTTAGCTAAACACACCCTACAAAACAATACAAGTGAGCCGCAGAGCAGCGGCCGAGAGGTACGCAGCAGTGTGTGTAGCTGTTAGCGGTTAGCCAAACACACCGTACAAAACACGTTTTTTTCTAGATCTGGCCACAAAAACAGTCAATTGCATGGTAACGTTTGACTGGAGAGGTTTCAATACTACTTGGTACTTCGGTCGATACCTTAAAAGTACCATGTATACAGGTATCATGTACTGATACCCAGCACTAATGACAAGTTGTATTGCAGCTGTTCTGGCAGCTTGTGGAGCCCCAACACCTTATTAACACGCTCAATGTTGTGTTTTCTCTTAATCTGTCACCCATCTGTACGTGTGCTACACAAACACTCTGCACAGCCTCCTCTGCTGTGACAGATTGGCTTTACGATGTCTGACTCCATTCCAGACCACAGCAGTGATCAGAGCCCTTTAGGAAAATGAAACAAACGTTTACTCATGCATCAATATTAACTCGTACGAGCGCACCGCTTTTACAGGAGAAACACACAGACAGACACGATGTGGTTGAAAACAGGGTGCGCCCCCCTGCTGTTAACACCATCTTGTGTTTGACACCGGCTTTATACATATGCTAATTCCCCTCCATTTCACTGCCACTGTAATGGATGGGGTGAGACCAGCAATTAGATTCTAGAGAGAGGAAACGGAGCGAGAGACAAGAGTTATGTGTGTCTTATCTAGCCCACACAGAGACCGACCCCGTTCCCTTCTCCACTAGACACCACACCTGCGTTTCATTCATAAATAAAACATTTAATCTACATCTGGATGAACTTCAATAAAGGCCGAATATCTTATGTGAGTGAAAAACAGGAATAAAAAGCCTGAATGGTGGAGATGAAAGACCTGGAGACTGCACGCCGTCTTTGTTCCTCTTATAATTACGTGGGCCAAGTTAAGTTATAGGTTGAATGAATGTTATATAAATAGCCGCCGTCGCAGACAGCCAGTCCGTTCCCTTTGGGTTTTGTGTTTGTGTACCCAGTGTGCGAGGAGGGCAGCGTGCCCAATGCTGTCTTTAATTGGCGTGGCGGAGAGCCAAATGATGGATGGCCGGCCCGGGTGGAGAGAGACAGTCTCTCAGAGTGTCTGTTTCCGAGTCGATGACAGCCATCTGCCAGTCCCATAGGCTATTCTCAGCGCTGTTTGCCCACATGTGCATCAGCGTACAGTGAGTCTGTGCTCTCGTTCCGTTGCTTTCTGGTGTGTTTGTGCATGTGAGCTACTACTGTATGTGTAAGAGCCAACAATGACGATACAGTAAAGCAGCACTGACATGTTATCACCTTTTTAAGTAGCTTTATTTACACATACTCAGCGTCCTTGTTTCTGGACACATGCTGTATGCAAATCCAATTTGTTCTTTGTTCAGCTCTGTTTTTGACTCCTGATGGATGTACGTGGCTCTTTAGTAGTTAAATGCTCCACTATGTTCACCACCTAGTCTCCAACCTGGGCAGGTAGCATAGATTGGGTTTATCAAAGTGGCATGGCAGAAAATAGCGCTGATGTGAGACGGTAAAGGTGCAGAGTGTTAGTAAAGTAGCGAGCAACACCAGCTCCAAAAGCTGCTAAATCTAGCGAGAAAGTTGCTAAGTCAGCAACACTGACAGCCCGTCCCTTTAGGCCTCTCTCCAAAGCCACTCCCCCAAAAATGATCGTTCTAAATATAAACAACAAACATGGTTATTGTTAGCACTCACAGCTGTTGAGATGCAGCCAGTGAAAGACTCTGTTGACGAGTAATGAACACACGGGCAGAATCATTTCCAATCATTTCATTCTGCCATTATTACAGTCCTGCAAAAGCCACAGGAATTAGATTTTGTTTATATTTTTTTGTCAAAGGATTTGCTTCATTGATGCTTTCGGGATTTAATGAGAATTTCAACGAAAATATGAATATGTTTTTGAAGAAGTTACTAACCCTGCCTTCAGAGTGAGGTCACTACGAGCGACCCCTTCCACTTTACTCATAATTATTTGATCCAAATTATATTATAAATATATAGATTACAGCTGCTTATAATTATTTCCATTTTTAATGAATGTGTTCATTTTATATATAAAGTTTGTCTCTAAAATGTCTGAAAATAGTGAAAAATGTTCCAGAACACGAGGTGACGTCTTCATGTTGCTCGTTTTGTGTGACTCACAGTAAAAACCTACTAATATAATAATATTAATATTCACCTCATGTTGTTGTATAACAGAGAAAAGCAGCACGTTTCAGAAGCTGGAACCTGTAACATGTTTGACAACTTTAGCTTGATAGTAACATGGAACGAACATTTGACAACTATTACTTCATCATTAAAATTAATCTCAATCAGTTTTCTGTCGGATAATCAACGGATCGTTTCAGCTCGAGTGTTGCACAGCGTTGCATCACATGGTCCCCCAAAAAGATCGAGGCTGCATCATCGAAAAAACTCGCTCCTTTCCAGATGTTCTGTGTATGTTCTTTTTTTTTTTTTTTTTTTGCCAATCAAAGCAGCTGTTTATCAGCCGCCAGCTCGGTGAAGTCTAACATCTCTCTCGTTTGCTTGTGTGTTCGCAGCTCCTGGGCTTCGTGTACGCCTGTTATGTTGTCAGCGCCATCACCGAGGAGGAGGACAGCTGTGAGTCGCTTACCCTCACCCCCTCACACACACACACACACACACACACACATTCTTGAAACAGATCATTGCAGCAATTAATGAATCACTCTCAGAACCACTCACGCAGATGTGACGGAAAACTCCAGAATTGAGGAGAACAGGGCCACGTCTTTCTATTCTTTTCCTATCTTTACCTCCCACTATCACCAGCTCTCCCCTGTCTCCCTCCTCTGTCCTCCTTCACGCCAGCTGGGCCCTCTCTCTCTCTCCCTCCAGAACCAAAGGAACCATGTGTTCCCTCTCCACACCTCCTTCAGCCCATTCTTCTCACTTTCTCTTTCACGTGTCCAGTCGTCTGTGTGGTCCTCGCTGTTGTTGCAAACCTTTCTTTCATGTACTCGGGACTTTCACTTCGCTCACTTTCTTCTCCCCACGCGCCCCCTTGTTTGTCGCTCCAGCTGTCTGTTGCTGGCTCGGGCGGGTGTTTTTTTACACCGCAGGAGTGCACCTCCCCCACTCTCCTCTCGACACGCACACACCTTCCCTCCTTATGCTCTTGCAGCTTGTCAAACATGCACATGCTTCCTCCGAAGTGGCTCAGTCTGTGCAGTTGACTCGGCCTTTTCCTGTCCTGCATGAAGCAGGCAGAGAGAGAGAAAAGGGTGTGTGAACAGGCGACATGAGATATTAGAGAAGGAGAAACCAGAGATGAACCCTTGTGATAAATGACCCAGCTGCTGTGACCTCATAGGACGCAGGGTCAGAGGTTCTCGCTCGAGGTCGGACAATCAGAGGGCAGGAAACATTTGATCTAAGGGTTAGCGGCGGTCGTAAATATCTGATTAGCACCGCAGTAACTCTCCGGGACGCATAGCGATGTCCACATGCATGAGAGTCTGCCTCAACGTATTTTTCCCTTCTGAATATTAACCCTGAACGCTCTGTGAGGATTAGCTGAGATTAAATAGGTTTCTCAATACGGTTATAAAACAAAACGTTCCTTCTTTTGTAAATTTAGCTGTTAGTGTCGACTTCCTTTGTTGTATTTGACCCCTCAACACGCGTCTTGCGCTCTCATTTCCCGACAGGTCACATATTTATGCATCGAAGAGCCTCTCGGCTCACATCTTTGAACAGCGAACGCCAAATTTGCATCTGATCTGTGACTTTTGCTGGGAAGCTCCGAAAACTAGCGGCGAGTGGAAAATCAGAGCCAAAATCGTGTAGTTTGAAAGACGCTAGACGTGTGGAAGGGCCTCTTCAACATGACTGTGTGTGTCTGGAGGAGATGAGCTGAACCATCAGTTAAAAAACACCGACACAGAGAGCAGAGGAGAGAAGCAGCGTGACCCGTAAATTAGTGGCATAGTTTATTTTCGTTCATACAGCTTAGATGCTGGGAAAAAACAACGCTTATGATAGTAGGGGAAACCTTGATTTTCATAAATTGCTTCCACATTTTGGCAAAAACCAAATGTGCCTTGTTTCACCGCAGATTCCATTTTTATCATCAAATTCCGTGAAGCTGTCTGTGTTTTCCACATCACGGAAATCACAGGCCCCTACATACTGTTCGTGCTTGTCAGAGTACTAATTGTGAAGTAGCTGGAGCCTGGCTGTAATCAATCCCAGACACCCAAACTCTCACTTTGATTTGAACACGGCGTAATGCACAAAGCGTAATGCACACGCACTAATTTCATGTTAAACCTGCAGACTCTTGTAATTTGAGAGGAACTTGTGATGTGGTGCCCGTGTTCCTGCAGACGAGCGCTGCAGAAATCCAGGCGGTTCTGTGGTGGTCACATACCAGAGATTCAGCGGCTGTGAGCGGTTAGCATCACCACCCCCGGCTCTGGGCAGTACCACTTAATCACCAGTCGACCCTAAATAATCCCTGGAGGGCAACACCACCTCAGCACGAGTCAAGTCAACTAAACTAAACTACACTTTTGTTTCTTTGTGACATTTGAGCTTTGTTCACCGCCCCGTGTGGCACAGATTGTGTTTGTTTGAAAAGCGGATGGCCATTCACCCCCACACACACACACACACACACACACACACACACACAAAATCAGCGGTAACATTATCAAAAGAGCAATAAGGAAAGGTTGGTTCACAAAAAAAAGGGTCAAGGGTGAAAACAAAACATTTTTAATTATCTGGCGGCTCTTCTCTGATTCAGGAGTAAAACTCTGCCACGAAAGCTTCCAACCGCTCGCTCTTTGTTATTGCAATCAGCCTTTTGCCTGCTCACACACACACACACACACACACACACACACACACACACACACAAACTTGTTCAGAGACAGGTGCGCACACACACACACACACACACACACACACGCAGACACCAGCTCCACCACTCTCATTTGATGTGTAGATTAAAGCGTGTTTCTGTGCCTCAGCACCTCTCCTCCTACTCAGAACTTCCTCTTCTCTTCACTCGCTTCATTCCTGTTCCTCGCGTTCTCCACACTAAGATGGAATAATCACATATGAGAGTCCAATTGTTGTAAGAAATCTCCGCCGCTCTCCGTCTCGTTTCCCGTCTCTGGCTTTCGAAGCTTTAATGAGGTGTGCTTGTAAAAAAAAGTTAGAGGTCCCTGGTCCCTCGTTTTATCAGCCTCATTAAGCGCCTCGTCCGTCAATAACTTCCACAGTTGATTGTGCCTCGGCAAGAGAAGAAAGGTAGGGAAGAATCCTCAGGAGGGACAGAAAGAGAGAGGGTGAGACCGGAAGAGGAGCATGGAGGGGGGAGAGCAGAGGGAGGTGTTCGTCAGGAGCGAGGTTGGAAGAGGAGACGGGTCATTATGCCGAAACAAACAACACGAGACAAGATGAGCTTCTCGTGAATGAGGAGATAAGACAGGAATTCCTCTCACGCCGAGCACTCTCTCACTCTCAGGGGAGACGGGTGAGATAGATTTGAGTGCTCAGGCTTGTGTAAAGAATAGCGGGGTGAAACACACACACCCGTGCACGCACACACACACACACACACACACACACTCACAGGAAGACACAATGGGCAGAATAGAGTGTGTGTGTGTGTGTGTGTGTGTGTGTGTGTGTGTGTGTGTGTGATCTCCCATTTGATTTGACATCCTCTCACGTTAAAAGTGCATATGTATATTCACACACTCATGCATACCTTTACACTGAATGTATTTGTGTGTGTTACCTGACTATGCAGGACTGACTGAATGTTGGAGTGTAGATATTTGTGTGTGTGTGTGTGTGTGAATTGGTTCCACAGAGTTATCGGTGGTGAGCAGACACAGCGACTGAGCGAGTGGTGGGGAAAATCCTCTTTGTAAAGTAGGTCATGGAGTTAGAAGCCGAGCGCCGGGATAAGCTCGCTTTAGCATGTCTGCTAATTATGCTGCCGCCCTCTGTGCTGAGTCACATCCCCAGAAAATCCTCCACAGCAGAATGAGACGCTGAAGGGATGCGAGAGCGTGTAGGTGGCAGCGTATTCTCCAGTTGGAAAAGAGTGAAAAAGGTCAAAACATCCACAAAAAAAGTCTTGTCACCACGACTTACCCCAAAATGTTATCTTCAAGTTGAACATTCAGAGATTGACCATTTTGACACAGTTTCTGTTTGACGGTCGTTTTTAAGGTCCAAGTCAAGAAGCTGTGATTGACAGGCCGCTACCAGAGACGTATACAGCGTCTCTACGTCCCTCCTCCTCAGTCCAGATATGGTCACTTCCATTCACTGGTTGCAAAAAGCCAAGATGGTGACGGCCAAAATGTCGAACTAGAGGCTAAAAAACGGCAGTACACAAACAGATGGGCGACGTCACAAAGACCACGTCCACTTCTTATATGCAGTCTTTGGTGCTATTGTGACGTTGGCTCACTGTCATAACATCCTGGGACACTTGAATGGAACTCTGATATTTTTTAATTATTCTGCAAAATATATCCACATTGAAGTAGTTGTTACTTGTAAACTCTGGAAATTAGCACTGCAACTACCAGTTCATTTCAACGTTAATAATCGATCATCAAAATATTTGCCCAATAATAAGCACAGTGGCATTGTCTGTATTCGTCACATGAAACATATTCCAGAGGTTCTCCTGGCCTGTGTTTGCCTGGGACCTTTCTCCTCTCTGCATGGATGATTAACTTTGAACACACTCTCATTCAAACACACCTGAAGTTTTCATATGCAGAATAACGGAGCATAAAATCGCCTTTAAAGTCAATGAGTAGCCTGCATTGCAGTGATGGCTGTGTAACGGTGTGTGAGGACAGAGACGTATACTGCAGAGTGGATCAAACCATGAGGAGCTCCTTTAAATAGAGTGTGTGTGTGTGTGTGTGTGTGTGTGTGTGTGTGTGTGTGTGTGTG